AGGCTCCTGCTTGTAACTGAGTGTAATCTTTTTAGAGAACTTTGGCAATATCACTCAATATATAAAATATTTGATATCTTTGACTCAGTAACTCCACTTCTAGAAATGTATACTAAAGATAGGCTCCTGGGTGGCTCAGTCATTAAGCTTCTGCCTTCAGCTCGGGTCATGATCCCAGGGTCCTGGGATCGAGCCCCACATCGGGCTCCCTGCTCCTCGGGAAACCTGCTTCTCCCTCTCCCACTCCCCCTGCTTGTGTTCCCTCTCTCGCAGTCTCTCTCCCTGTGTCAAATAAATGAAAAAATAATAAAGATAGACTCTCAAAATTGTACAGATATACATATACACGAAGAATAAGGCTCAGTAAATTGTGTAGAATTAACAAATGAATGAATTGTAGAATTTCTTGTAACTCATAAAAATTAGAAGCAATTATATTTCTACCAGTAGAAGGAAATGGTTAATTATGTTACTGTACACAGGATAGAATTGACATCTTAAAAAGAACGTGGTAAAGTTGTATGTTATGAAAAAAAAGTACGCACACACACACAGGTCCCTGAGGCCTCGCAGAAATTCCTTCAGTGAGTTTTACAATGAGATCGCTGCATGATCTAGTATCCTCAAGAGCATCCTTGAACCCCTTCAGCCATTAATCTGAGGCAACATTTCTCAAAATGCAGTCCAAGGACACCTGCATCCAAGTCACCTAAAGAGCTTGTTCAAAATGCAAATTCCTCGGCTAGGGTGGACCCGGAATCCATTTTTTCAAACAAGATCCCAGTTGATTCTTATGCACACTGAGATTGAAAGTCACTGCTTTATGGCCTCTCCAGTTTAGAGATCAAGATGGTCCCAGCCTCCGGCTCCTCCCACCAAGCAGGTTGCTTCTAGGGGTGCCCCGAAAGTGATAGTCTAGAGTAGGTCATTCTGGCACGTAGTAGGTGGTCTGACTGTCTCTGGGAGGAAAGAAGAATGATGTACTAATGCAATCTCTGTCAAGAGCACCATGACTTACCATGCTCCATTCTGTGTTAAACCACTTGGCCCCGCAAGGCTTGAGGTGGCATGCTTGCTGGCTGGCGGGTCTCTCCAGGAAGGAACATTCATAGGGGTCCAGCACTTCAAAGGTGTCTGCATTCTTCCTAACACAAATCACCTCCCTCTGTTGGGTCCCACTCCCACACTCGATGGAACACTGGAGAAAAATCAGAGAATGATGGGTGTCACATGCTGGAAAGGGGACAGGAAAATCAAGGGATATTTATGAGTGTTTTCTATCATCAATTCAGTTAGGACGAGCCCAGGGACACCTGGAAAACGTTACTGGGTAAGATGTAACAAGTGGATGCCAGTTTTCCTAAGGGCTCTGTGTCGGGAATGCAGCGTGGGTGCCCCGAGTTATCACAGCGCCAGGATGCTGGTCTCCAAGATCGTGGTGCCCTCTGTGTGAGATTGAAATGGTTTCTTTTAGGGGCGCCTGGGTGGCTCAGTCGTTACGCGTCTCCCTTGGGATCGGGTCATGGTCCCAGGGTCCTGGGATCAAGCCCCGCATCGGGCTCCCCGCTCCACGGGAAGCCTGCTTCTCCCTCTCCCACTCCCCCTGCTTGTGTTCCTGCTCTCGCTGTGTCTCTCTCTGTCAAATAAATAAATAAAATCTTAAAAAAAAAAAGAAATGGTTTCTTTTAGGCCACCTCTTTAGACGCCCCCTCCCCTGGCACACACAGAGGGACATATCCGTCTGTCAATTTGGTTGTTCCTGTCCAGTAGATTCTGACACTTCTCACTGCAAAACAATGAACTATCATTCCGGTTGATCTGCCGGTCTCAGTGGGTGGATACTGGAAACGACTTAGTCTCTCAGATCCCGCACACTTTTGGACAAGGGGCTACATTAAAATTCTTTGGGACACACAAAGCTGAGAAGATCCCAGACTGGGGACAATGTCCCCTAAGGTCAGCCCTCCCCTCCCAACAAGTGGCCAGCAGGAAACCTCTGACTGCAGGGTCCAAGCCTCTCTCTCACTTCCCCCTTTGGTGGGAAGCTCGAGAGGGTAGTCACCCAAAGAGGGTGGTCAATTACACATGTTGGTATGTTTGTTAGTTTACAGAAACGTGATGTGTATAACTGCTCACAAATTATTCTCTTTAGTATCTATTACTTTGTAAAGTGTTTCCTGTTCATGTCTGGTTTACTCTTAATACTTCCTGATTACAACATTTTAAAGCTGTGATCCATATACATCTTTTTTTTTTAAGATTTTATTTATTTATTTGAGAGAGAGAGAATGAGAGACAGAGAGCACGAGAGGGAAGAGGGTCAGAGGGAGAAGCAGACTCCCTGCTGAGCAGGGAGCCCGATGTGGGACTCGATCCTGGGACTCCAGGATCATGACCTGAGCCGAAGGCAGTCGCTTAACCAACTGAGCCACCCAGGCGCCCGATCCATACACATCTTAAATAATCTACTTAATAACCTTAAATAATCTACTATCTTTATAAAAGCCTCTAACAATTTCTTTAGTTGAAACTCTTCATATTAGCTCTGCTGTCTGTATGCAGGAACGTAGTCAAATAAAAACAGGGAAAAAACCACACATATCTACAGAAGAAAAAGGCAAACCCCAAACCAATAGACTATGGTCTATTAGTCACACAGGACGTAATAAGCATCACCCTCAGCAATTTCCCCTTGGTGCCCTTTTTTTGGGGGGGGGCATCTTCATAAGACATCCAGAGGACAAATCTTCTTGGTTTGTTTTTCTTATTTCCTTCCATGTGAGTTAATGACTGATTTGGAGTATATTCCGGTTTTCTTTTCTTTTAAATTCTGCGGACAACAACAGCACTGGAGGCAGGAGAGGCGTGACTGGCTACCAGGCAAAGGCCTGGCCTCCCCTGGGGGGGAGTGAGAGTGTGTGCTAAGGATCCAGGGGGCAGCAGGGGGAGGGGAGGGAACAGGAAACATGGAAACTAGTCCAGACATCCTCACTAAATAGTTCCGAGTCTTTGGCCAAGATATTGCACTTTCGTAGGTGTCCACTGTCTCGCTTGCAAAATGGGGGTTTGGAGACCTGATCTGAAAGACCCCTGACTGCTCTGGGGGTCTGTGTCTGTACCGAGTGCTTGGCAGAATAGCAGACGACAAACCTTGACCAAAACTTGAAGCTACTTTCTGCTATTTTTTTTTTAAGATTTAATTTATTTATTTGACAGAGAGAGAGATAGTGAGAGCAGGAACACAAGCAAGGGGAGTGGGAGCAGGAGAGGGAGAAGTAGGCTTCCTGCTGAGCAGGGAGCCCGATGCGGGGCTTGATCCCAGGACCCTGGGACCATGACCTGAGCCAAAGGCAGACGCTTAATGACTGAGCCACCCAGGCGCCCCTCTTTTCTGCTATTTTAACGAGGTCCTTAAGAGATTAGGCAATTAAGGGAGAATGAGCACATATCTCAGCCTTCTACCCTAAATGCCCAGAAATGGCAGAATATGTGTGTTAGGAACAAGCGAATGGTTGTGTGTGTGTGTGGGGGGGTATGTATGTATGCATGAAATAGCATTTGAAAACAGGAAAGGACACTCATCCTTGGTGGACGAGAAATTATGGGGAATATTTGAATGGTGAAAGGCAGGTGGGATTAAGTTGAAGGAGCACATCATAGTTCAAAAAGCACATAGAAGAGTATGCCCAGCAGAGAGGAAGCAGCTCAAGAGCTTCAGGTGAGAAGGAGTACGAGATGCAGGAAGGAGGCCTTGGGATGGTGAGACAGTGATCAGCTAAGGCACTGACCAGGAACAGCAGGGCAGGGCTGACTGGCAGGGGAAAATGAAGGCATCTGCCTCTACTATCAAAGGGCAAAGTGAGGACACTTTCGGATATTTAAGGGTTCAGAAACTTACAGCTCATGATCCTATTTGAAAGACTTACTGGATAGTGGTCTCTGATAAAATGAAAAAGAACCAGGAAGAAGACATAACCGGGAAAGACACAAAGTAGAAGAGTTGGTAAGAGCTATTGTTAATAATGGATACAGGGGCTTTGGGGGATGATGTTCTGGATGTTCTGGAATTAGACAGTGGTGATGGTTGTACAGATTTGTGAATATACTAAACACCGCTGCATTGTGAACTTCTAAAAGGGTGATTTTTTTTTATGGTATGTGAATTATATTTCAATTAAAAAAATAACCTTTGGAGGGGAGACAGCTATTTTTAAACCTAAATCAGTATTTCCTATAAAATTAATTAACATTAATATGGAGCTAGATCCAGATGATGTCAACATCTTTTTGGAGATATTGTGGATTGAGAAACTGGAGGTAAGTACATGGGGACTTAAGGCTTCTGTCTGCTTTTGGGGGAGGATGTGATTGCTGATAGCTTGACACAGAAACATGACAGTTTAAAACTCTGTGCTAAAAATTTGAGTGTTAGGACTACATGAATAAAAATAGGATTTATAACTTCCAAAATGTTAGAGGGGAAAGATGGAATTAAGGAAATCTGATCTGTGCACATGTGCAGAAAGGAAAGAAGAAACAGATCAAGAAAGCATGGTAATAACCTAAATAGGAAACACAAATTAAGATGGCGGGGAAAAGTCCAAGCATGTAAGTGATTACAATAAATGTGAATGGTTAAAATTAAGAAACAGAGACTTGCAGATTGGGTAAAATTAAAGACAAAAATAGTCCTGCATACAAAAGACATGTCTTAAAAAATACATAAAAATTGACAAAGATATACCAGGTGAAAATCAACAATGAGTAATCAGAGTAATTCAAATATCAGATAGAATATAATTCATAGAATTCATAGAAGAAAGGCATAGAAGACAGAGGTGGTATTTAACAGCGATAACTACTTCCACCGAGCAGTGGTAGTGATTATTTCTACACCTGAATAATTCCTGCATTTGTACTCTGGTGGATCACTGATCCAAGATGAGAGTGGAAATATCCACACAGATGCCAGTGAAAATGAATTCGGACAGAAAGGCAGACAAAAGAGCTGCTCCCAATGGTAGAGACTGTGAAAGCCCCCCCTCCCCGCAAGAACAAGGACAATCTACAGGTGAAGTAAACCTAGAACTGGAAGGCAAGAAAAGAAACATCTGTGCATCAATCTAGGCACCAATCTAGATATTGGTGGAATAGCTTATGAGTAGGATTTAGGCTACTTTGGCACCAGGTATAAAAAAAACTCCTTAAGCTTGATAGGTCTCATTCTCTTGGGCTGGCTTTCTCCACAAGCCCCGACAAGGCCATCACCAGCACCTCTGCTCACAACTTCTCAGAGAGTCTCCTCCCTTAAGTCTACATTAAAGTCCCAGGGAAGGATTTTGCTAAGCTTGGCTTGGGTTCCATGTCCACCCTGGACAGTTCACTGTGCCCAGGCTCGTGGGGCGTTCCAGATGCCAACTTCATTCAAACCACATGGATAGAAGGAACATTTATTTTCACTTTGGTTTCAGTACATAAGCATGCTCTATTTCATTTTCTTTGGGCATAACATCAGAGTCCCAGGGTAGGGAGGTGACAGCAGGCTCCAACATCCTTATAAATCCAGAGCTAAAACTTTGTCTCATTCAATCATGTCCTGACCCTTTTGGGCATCAGGGCACTGAATTCCATGTGTCTAATCTTGGCGGAAACAAACACTGCCTTCACCCACATTCACAATCACTCTCAGTTCTCTGAATAGGCCTGGAGTCAACAGGAGGCCCACAAGCAAAAAAGACCCTGAATCCTGCTCCCTTCTCTGAGATTGGTAGACGTTCAAGTTGAGTTGCACTGCTAATCCTCACCATGTGGAGGCTGTTCCAGTTTCCCAGAGGACTCTTGCCTATGCTTTGTTTCTGTGGCTATTTGGTGTAATGCAGTCCCCTCTGAATTATCTTTGGGATTCGGGTCCTAGGTTTTTTGCTACCAATAGTGACATGGAAAACAGTGGGCAGACAAAATAATAAACACAGGGAACAGGGAACTAACGTGCATTAGTAGGTATTCTCATCCTCACGTTTGGATGGGGAAACAGGCTCCCAGACGTTATGTTGCCTGCCCCAAGTCAGAAGAACTACAGAGAAGTAGAGCTGGGACCAGCTATCAGGTATGTCTGACTCTGATAGGCACTCATGTAGCTCTGGGAGTACCTGAATTCTCTTTCTTTTTGAATTTTCTATATTTTACAGTTTGTATTATAAAAACATTAGAGGAAATTTGAGAAGAAAACATTTACCCACGTTGTTCATATAAAAACCCATTCTTCAAAGGGGCTGAGATAAAGTTCACTCACTGGTTTTCACTTGCCACTATATCATGTGTACTTTCTATGTCTCCCTAATTATCGCTGTTGTTGTTACATAGTATTTTAATGAGTTATGATACACTGTAATATCCCTAAGTGCCCTGTTGTCATGAACACCTCTGTTAAAAAAGCCTTTTTTTTCTTCTGTTAATTATTTCCTTAAGATGAATCCCCAGAAGTGGAGTCACTGGTTAAGGCAAATGAACATTTTTATGGTTCTTGACTTTTATTGCCAAATTGCTTTCCAAGGGGGTTGTATCAACTTACAAGGACAGGGCAGTCTATTTTTTCAGGGTCTGTTTTTAGAGCTACTTAAAAGAAATCAAATTCTATACGGAGCCAGGGGTCCTGATAATGTATAAATCATGATCATCAGCCAAAAAGTCCTTGGAGAACCAGCCAGTCCTGCCAAATGCTAAGTGGCCAGAGAACTCAAAATACTAACGGCAATCATAACAGGGCAGTAAAGAAAGAACGATCTTTTCCACATTTTCTTAGGGGATTTGTGTTCAATTTTGGAACACTGAGGAAAACATCAGCTGATCAATGAAGTTACTTTATTAAAGTATTTGGTATTATCTGTTCTTTATAAGGAACAACTGCAACTTTTCCTGTATCTGCTTCTATTTCCCCCCTCAGTTTTATTGAGCTACAATTGACAAATAAAATTGTAATATATTTAAAATGTAAAATGATGATATGATGTACGTATGCATTCTGAAAGGATTCTCACAATCAAGTTAATCAACACATCCATCACCTCACATACTTACCTCTTTTGCGTGTGCATGAGAATGCTTAAGTTCTACTCTCCTAGCAAATTTCAGTGATACAGTATTATCAATTGTGGTCACCATGTTATATATTAGATCTCAGAACGTATTCATCTTGTCACCAAAAATTTGTACCCATTTACCAACCTCTCCCCATGTTCCCACCCCCCAGACCCTGGCAACCACCATTCTGCTGTTTCCCTGAGTTTCATTTTTTTTTTTTTTTTCAGATTCCACATGTAAGTGATACCATGTAGTATCTGTCTTTGGCTGTTTGGCCTATTTAACTTAGCATAATGTCCTTCAGGTCTACCCATGTTACCACAAAGGGCAGGATTTCCTTCTTTTTTATGGCTGAATATTCATATATATATATATATATATATATACACTATATATATATATACACTATATATATTCCATTATACACACACACACACACACACTATATATGTATATATACACACACCACATCTTCCTTAGGTTATCAACAGACACTTAGGTTATTTCTAGACCTCGGCTATTGTGAATAATGCTGCTATGAACATGGGAGTGCAGGTATCTCTTTGAGATAGTGATTTGGCTTCCTTTGGATATATCCCCTGCAAGTAGGATCGCTGGATCATATCTCTTTGTGCTTCTGACATTCAAATACAGACAACACTGGCTTTATTAACAACAATAATAGGAGCAGCAGCTACGATTTATTGTGTATTTGTTGTATGTCAGGCACTATGCTACATTCTTCATAGACATTACTTCATTTCTCCTAAAAATAACCTCACACAGTATGGTCATTAACCTTTTATAGACAAAGAAACCATGCTAGATCATACGCTCCCTGAGGGCAGGGATATTCGCGTTGCTCATTGACGTATTCCAAGTGCTGAGAAGAGCACATAATAGGTGCTCAAGAAACACTGTTGACTGAACGAGGCTCTGAGAGCATAAGCAGCTTCTCCAGGGCCACAGGTAGCACTGCTGGGATTCACACCAGGATGCCTGGGATACGCCGCGTCCTGTTTCCCGGCCCCTCTGCTATGCATGCTCTCTTACCAGGGACGGGTGAACCCAGCCAGCTCTGGCCACTCACCTGACTCCAGCTCCCTGCAAACCACTCCACCTTGCCTGTGCAGGGCCCATTGTCACATGGGGTGGCCTCCGCGGGTCGGTTGTTCCCACAGCCCTCCAGGGGCAGGCTGCTGATGTGGTTGGTCATGCACACCACCGAGCGTGTCCGCACTCCAGCCCCACACTCTGCTGAGCACTGCAAGACAGGAGATGGGCACGTTAGAGGGCAGGCCCCCTGCAGGCTCTGAGGCTACTTTCTAATGATGTGAAGGACTGAACATCTCGTTTCCCCACCAACTCTTTCCCCTAGAGTCTCTGACCACTTTTCACGCCCAGCCTACTCCATTATGGGACGTCAGTATGGCAAACCCCCATCTTAGCTTTTCTAGGACAGTCTTCATTCCAAATACCCTATCCCAGTGCTGCGACTGATACGCTTACACTTGTCAGACAACCTGCTTTGACTTTTGCTCTTGAAAACAGATCCAGCAGGAGAAGAGTGAGGAGCATAAACACTTGGGCATAGGTCTACTTGCTGGTAGCTGAGTCTGGGCTGTTCTGGGGAAAGTGAGGAAGTGAAGTCTGTCACCTCAACCCTGCTGCCTGATGGTAAGGCAGGGGTCCCAGTCCTTGAAGGCACAGGGGTGACAGCATTAGCAGACAGCTTCCTATAGATGGAGAGCTTGGCCTGGGAGCCAGACACATTGGTGTTAACATCCCTACTAGCCTGGTGGCCTGGGGCAAGGAACCCAGCCCCTTTCACCTCTGGTATGCTCATCTGGATAGCATATTCCTGGCAGGATTACAGGTAATGAATAATGTGCTCTGCATACAGAAGGTGCTCAATAAATGGTATGGGAAATTGAGATAGTCAGGTTCTCTCTCCCCGCTCTAAGATAAAGAAACTGAAGTAAGGGCTTCACTTAAAGCCACGCAACTGCCAGTGATTTCTGTGTTACAAGCACACTCTGTCCTCATCTAGGGCCTACTGAACACATTCCCGAGTCATACCCCAAAGCTTGAAGAGCATTTTCCATCTGTCTTGAAATGCTTTGGGATGCTGCCTTATTTTGCTGCTCATCCTATCTGTTCAGACCTTTCTGGACCTCTTCGAGTGCTCCCCAAGATACCTCATGTTCACCATGTAAAACAATGGAGCACCCCCCTCACCACCATCCCCATTGCTACTCTCGGTTTTCCAATCTGTGCTCAAATTTCTACCAGGATTCACAAGTTGGCCGTTCTTTTGCATTCTTGCTTCTGCCATCAAGCCAAACTTCAGATCTCACAGATTCTGGTTTCACATTTTTCCTGTCGTGCTTCTTTCTGCCCATGGTTCCCAGCATTGATGTTCTTCCCCTGCGACTGTGGCCACAGTTTGTTGCTCGGTATCACCACCTTTTCTAATTTGCTGAGCTTCCAGGTGCTGGGAGTGCCATGGTGAAAATCCCTCTGACGCTGTCCCAGTCCAACATGGACCTCCCCACCTGGCATTCAAGCTCTCCTATAAGACGACCTGAGTCAGCCTCAGTCTTCTAGGCTAACTTCCCATTATTCTCTCCCACACAGCTCATGCTGGACAGAGCCTGGGTCCTCCCTTTCCCGACTGCATGAAGTGCTCACCGTGCCTTATGCATGCTGTTCCTTCTATCTGCTAGAGAGCTCTTCCCCTTCATCAGGACACATTGAAATCCATTAAGGCTCAGCTCAAAGGCCATCTCCTCTGTGAAAACTCCCTTGACTGCCTGATTCAGTATACTCTTTCCAGCCTCAGAATTCTCAAGACACTGCTCATCCTACTATCCTCCTTTGTACTACAGTTACTTATGTCTTACTTTATTTTTTCCTTTATAGAGGTAGGCTCAGTGAAAGCAGGGACTATTGAATCATCTCTACTTCCTTCTCAGGTCAGCACCTTACCCATGGGCAATGAATATCAGTTAAATAAATGAACACAGACTTGGGTCCTTCCTTGCTCCTCTCTCTTCTGTTACCAATACGTTCCAACTCTGAAAGTGGCCGTTTAGAGGACAACCAAAGCCCATTCTAAGCGTTTCTGCTGGGTATTCCCTTAAAAACAGTCACTGTTTTTTGTTTGTTTTTACCAACATTACTATTTTAAAAAAATAAGCAAAAGCAATATAATTTAAATAAAATTCAAGAAAGGAAGAAAAAGAAAAAAACAACCCTGGTTCCTTACCAAAATTTCCATTTTCATTTTTGTATATTGATATCTAGTCTTATAAAATCACAGCCTGGATGAATAAGCAAACATTTACATGACCACTGCTGGGTTGGGCCTGACTCCTCAGGGAAAAAACTCTCTGAGGCAAAGAGCCTGAAGAGGATTAGAACATGCCACCCCAAAATGTGCTGCTTTGACATATTTTGAACTGAAGGTGATTGAGAAACATCAGATCCAGGAAGGGCTCTCTACCCTCCCAATCCTGCCTAAAAGCAGATCATAAATTTTCACGTAGTATCTGGAAGAAGAGAACATTTTTATAATTGGTGTTGGGAGCTGATGCCAAGATGAGTCTGAACAAACAAACTTTACCAAAATAACCCTTATCTTCCATTAGTATCCCCCATATATTTATCAGTCACTTTCCTATCTTTTATTGCCCCTAGAAGCCCCAGCCCCTTTCCTTTGTCTAGTCACTTCTTCAAAATTTATCACTGTTTGTTAAAATGATATAGAAGCGTTCAAGCCTAACTTCTTCTTTGGGATTTTCATTTCTTTCCTATGAGGCTCCCTGTGCCATGTAGAAAAATGAACATCAAATAAAATGTGTCAGCTTTTCTCCTGTTAATCTGGCTTTTGTCAGTTTAATTTGCAGGCTTCTATTGCAGAACCTAAGAGGATGGAGGAAAAGTTTTTTTTTTTCTCCCCTACAGGCTCACAAACACTTTGCATGACTTACACTCTATTTGCATTGTTATTAGGAATTTGAGCCAATGAGTCAGTCCTTTTTACAACAACAACAACAACAAAATCCTTTGTTACAATAATTGGAATGTTCTAGGCTGAAGGGTTTTTTGTTTCAGCCGTATATTATCTGGTCTCTTTCCTAGTTTTAAACACTTGAGATATTTAAATCCTCCTGAAAAATACAAGGCAAATTAAGTTATCTTCTTATTTCAAACCGTAAGAATATTTCTTTCCATGTAGTTTCCATTTGACTAACTTAATTTCTGCTTTCCAAACTGAATAATGTCTTCACATCTGGGAAAATTTCCCCATATCCCCATGTGCTTCATATAAAAGAAGAAATGTTAAGGACCAAGCCAAGTGCTCAATGAGAGAACACTATAGGGATGAACCCTACAGAGGGACTTCTCTTTATTACACCGGCTCTGACTCAAGAAGCCTCTCAGCAGGAATGAGGGGAACGATGGGCCCCTACCAGGCAGCAGTGACTACCTTGCAAAACCAGGCACTGAAACACCCATTCACTATCCTTGAAGGATGTCCCGGAAAGAAGGATCAAATCCACTTGGTAGTCAGAAAAGGACCTGACTCCCAGCTGAACTTCTGGGCTGACAAAACACAGAAACACATGAAATTTCTAGGCAACCGTGTGGTGAGGATTGTCTCCTCACTCCAGCAGCAGCTGAATGCTAAATTTGGCCCAATCAGCCCTTGAGGGACTGACTACAGGGTTCTAATGGCTATTCCTGATTTTCAGGTTCATGTATCATCTTCCATAATTAAGTAACACAAAGCTCAATGTCTTATTTCTTCTCTTGGAAAACATCCTTAGACATTAGGTGTTACAAAATTGAGGCTGGTGGACTTTCTAAAAGTTTTCTTCTTCTTCTTCTGTTGTGACTAAATATTGCACATGTGTTTAAACCTGTCATTGATTTATAGAACTAAAAAGTCTATGATGCCTATGTCTGATAAGACCCGCCCTCAGTTAAAGGTGGCTGCAAGGACATGTTTATGATGAGTCACTGAGTCAGAAAAACTACATAGCCCTGGAAGTTTAAGAGAAGATCCAGGTGTGAGTTTACAAGTTCAATTCAATTAGGTAGAGATTAATTAATTTTATTTTATTTATTTTTTAAAGATTTTTATTTATTTGACAGAGACAGTGAGAGAGGGAACACAAGCAGGGGGAGTGGGAGAGGGAGAAGCAGGCTTCCCGCCGAGCAGGGAGCCCGATGTGGGGCTCGATCCCAGGACCCTGGGATCATGACCTGAGCCGAAGGCAGACACTTAACGACTGAGCCAGCCAGGCACACCGAATTAATTTTATTTTAAATTAATAGTTAAATTAAATAATTAAAGAAATAGGATGTATTCTGGATCCTTAAGTGTTTGTGCACTTCAATCACATTTTCTTTAATCTCTCCCCCTTGAGCTCATTACATGGAAGCTGTATCTCATTCATGCCTGGCATCGTTAGGTGCTCAATACATGTTTATTGCAGTTGCAAAAAAAAAAAAAATGGCATAGCTCAGGCTAAAGCTTAACAGGGTTGATTTTTATACAAAGCCACTACTCACGTGTGAAAGACTGCCACCAGCTGGTTATTCCTGGGGCTAAGTGGTGACTTCAAGGCCCACCCCATGATCTCATCATCTAGGTCATGTTATCCCCTCATGCTCATTCAGCTTTGTTGCCAATAAGGAAACTGAGGGTCAGAGAGCCGCTTGCTCGAGGTGTAATAAGAAATAAGTCCCGGGAAAAGTGCTACCAAAGCCTCCTTCCCACTCATCTACTCCAGCCATAAACATTCTGGAATAATGTTATGTTCTGGGGGCTGATAAAGCAAAATTACCTACTTGTTTATATCAGAGCACTAACCTGACATCTTTCTAACACATCTTTCCAAAAAAGAACAAAGAAGTTCTCTAAACAGAAGAATACAGTGCTCATCTTTCCTCTATTTAGAATTTTAAGGCAAGGGTTAGATCCAGCAAGTACTTAATGTTAAAATGCAAAGCAAATTTACATTAAAGGGAAATTTACAAGTGTTTGTTGGAGGGGGAATAAAGAATAAGGGTGGATTCAGTTAGAGTTGGCAAACAATAGCTTAGTCTAATTAAAATTCACGCTTTACAGGTTTTAAATGCCATTAAGGTGTTTATAATTAATACACATGTGAAAAAGGAAGGTTACTAAATTATACATATGTAGTATTATGATCTGTATCCTTCAAATATGTGTGAGTACAAAAAAGCTATGTATGTTAAGTATGTATGAGTAGAAAAAAGCTTGACAATATAGCTTAAAAATCTTAAAATATTATCTGCTAGTAAAGAGATTATAGGTATGCTTTTCTGATTTTTTTATAATACTATATGTTACTTTATGACCAGAAAAGGTGAACATTATTTTTTTATCCATTAACTACATTAGTTCTTTAATTGGAAGTGAAAAATTCTTTGAGAGATGTTTGCAAACACACATTCAAAAAGTAGAAAATGGCATTTTTACTATTTTGTTAAGTAGAGATAAGTTATTAAGTGTGTAGTCACATAAGAACTATGATTAAATCTTTTAAATATTTCAGATGCATTATAAACTCAGCTGTCTTGCATTGTCTTATCTTTGCATATAGCCTTTTATTAATTACACTGTTTGTGTTATATAAATAAATGTTCTCTATAGTTTAGAATAATGATTGATGAAGATGAGGAAGCATTTACTGAGAAAATAATTTCAGCTCTTTTAACCTTTACACGAGCATTCTAAAACTTTGATTTCCTCTAGTGAATGTGAACCTTAAGAAAAATTTCCAAACTTCAGTCTACTCGGACATGTGAGTCATTGAACATTCATGGAAGAAATTATTACCTTAAGCTCTGCATATTCTTTATGAGATTTCATATAAATATTAAGGATTAAAAGGGTTTAAGTGCTCTAGACTTCAAACGATCTTGTTCCTTTTGTTTCATGACTTAAACTGGTATTATAAGTTCTCTGTTTGCATCACAAACTTTTATATTATAGGACGCAGACATTTTAGCTTAAGGTCTTATGTATAGTTGACAAAAATAATTTTTGTCCAAAATTATTTTAAAGAGTCTTTCCAAGAGGAAAATGAAAGCCCGGCATCATTCTTTTTATACATTTGTTTGCACACTAACTTCACCGAATTTACCGCGAACACAAATGAGTTTTGGGATGGCTAGAAATCCAGAAACACAAAAGAGTTAGTTGAAGGAACTAGGAATTTTTAGGAGAAGAGGTGGAAGAGGTCTCCAAATATCTGTAGGGCTGCAGTGTAAGGAGGAACACTCATGTTCTACAGGACAGGAGTGGGAGTTAGCAAGACACATTTTGGTCCGATGCCAAAGGAACCCTCTGGGCAACTGCCTGGACCCGCCATGAATTTCTGGGAAGGGGTTAGACTCAGGGATGCTGCAGAGGGCTCCTCATGCTGGCAGGGAGGCTGAGCACAGTGGCTTCTGGGGGGCCTCCCAGTGCTGCTTGGGCGCTGCCAGGAGCTGAGGTATGAGCTGGGAGGCTTGGAAGGAGGGAGAGGGGATGTACAGACAGAACGGGGGTGGGCCCTGCTGGACTCAGCCTCAGGGGCCCAAGTCTGAGTCCATGGACACCTTTCGATGGGCACCTACTCTTCACTGTTTCCTTTGGGTCAATGCCTTCTTGAGGACTAATTCAGTACCCGTGACAGCCCACTCTGGGACAGAGGCACAGTTAGCTGCTTGTCCTAAGAGTTCAGTGTTTGCACACGGGCTCTCTATCTGGGGACCATCTTGGGGCTAAAGGGGAGTGGCTGTAAGCCACGAGGTGTCAGTAATCCACAGCAGGTCAGTCACTCGATGAGAATCTCCAGGATGATCTCTGCATGTGAGGTGAAGCCTGCGTTGGCAGGTCTGTTCCTCAACAACTCCCCCCACCAAGGTGCAGTGTTACTGTGATGATGGGGACAAAATTAAGGGGCATCTCAGCACCAGATGGAGTGGAAACCCCTATGAATGCTTGCAGGGTGATGCTCAGAATACCGGACAATGCTCACCAGTCAGGAGGGATGCTGGCCCAGTAATCCACCCATGTGGCGGGATGGCGATGCATGAAGGTTTCCTCCTCTGAACTTGAGATGTCGCCCTGTTGTTGTTCACATGATTCCACGGGGAGAGGAGGCTCCCGTGCTCAGTCTTTCCTAAGGCTCTAGGAACTTGCCTGGTCCCCTCTTACCCTTGGCCCACCGGCCTCAGTGCCCCCTGGGAGCCCGTTAGGAAGGCAGATTCCCAGGCCCACCTCCCTGCTCGGACTCAGCCCCGGCACCATGCGGGGATTCCCAGGTGACCTGTAGGCACACTGAAGTTTGTCCGCATGGTGAGGAATTCTGATAAGGGAAACGGTGGCCACCTGGCCCAGCCAAGAGGAAGGCACTAAGGACAGAGACAGCCAGTCCTGGCTCCATCCCAATTCACCTTGCAAGGGCTCTAGACGATCCAGAAACCCAGAAACCGTTGGGGTGGGGCCAGCCCACTGCCCTGGGAAGAATCCCCTGATGGCCTGTCCCACTGCCAGCCCATTAGTCAGGGGCTTCCCCAAGAAAAGGAAGGCAAAGTTCACTCTCTCCTTCCCTCTCTCTCTTCCCCTCCCCAAGGTACACTCTGTAATTTTGCTTAATGCTTTTCCCTAAACTTTTTTTTTTACTGTGGTAAAATACACATAACATAAAATTTACCATTTTAGTCATTTTCAGTGTACATTTCAGTGGTATTAATCACATCTACACTGTTGTGTAACCATCACCAGACCCAACTCCAGAATCCCTATAAATCCTATTTTTGTCATTTTTTTTGGGGGGGGGGAGAGCATGCACAACCATGCCTATGAGCGAGGAGCGGGAGGGGCAGAGGAGGAGGGAGAGAGAGAGAATCTTAAGCAGGCTCCACGCCCAGTGGAGCCCTGCATGGGGCTAGATCTCACGACCCTGAGATCATGACCTGAGCCGAAATCAAGAGTCGGATGCTTAACCGACCGAGCCACCCAGGTGCCCCTAGTTTTGTCTTTGATAGAGGAACTCTATCTCTTGCTGCTTTCCCTTGCACATAGGTAACTGATGGTTAACTATACATGCCTCAGACTTCATCTTTACATCTGACACCAGGGACCCCAAGGGAGGCCAGGCTACTGGGAGGGGAAGAGTCTGTGAACTGTGCTGAGTTAGTAAGAAGGAGAGAAGGGGCCTGCCGCCTGTTGAGTGCATTTATATGCCAGACACTCACATACCATATGAGGGCTGCAATGTAATTCTTCCCCTTCTTCAGTATTTCATGATTTAATGTTCATGTGCAGTGCGAAGGAGAACGAATTCTCTCACCCCCACTGCTCACCCTTGTAGCCCCTCGGTCTTTGTATGAAGATAGAAAGCCTTTTCCCCAAAGTCAGAAGTTACCCTTGGGATTCTCAGCTAGTGATTCTCCTCGTGGTGTTGGGGTGCCTGTCACGTACAGCTCCTGCCCACTGGCCCGGCAGCCCTTGGTCCCGGCTGTAGGAAACCCACTCTGCCTGCCCTCAGCTCACCCTTTCACTCCACTCGGTGAGGAACCAGCTCTTGGCACAGGGCCCCATGTCACAGTTCTCAATGTCGTTCGGCCGGAGCTTCATGTTGCATTCCTCATCGTCGACCACGTCCCCGATGTTGCTCACACACTTCACGTCTCGGGTCCTCTGTCCCACCCCGCAGGGCACTGAGCACTAAAACAGCAGGAATAAGTCAGTGGGATGGGCAGCGTTACCTTTGGGGGCCTCTCCAGCTCGGGTGCCCTCATCCTTGTCACCTGCCACCCGAGCGACGACTGTGGTGAGACCCCCTGGGTGGCTCTGAGTTCCCAGCCCTGAAAACCTCACCAGGTCTTTTCTCTAAGACCTTCTTGGATGTCCTGCCCACTTTGTGGCTCTGGGCCTCCGTTCTGTCATCTGTGAAACAGGGGTGCGAGACTGGAAGGAGCTGATTTCTCATGTCACACGAGAGAGATCACCTGTATGCACGTGACTGCCACAGGCTCACCCTACAAGTCGGCTGTGGGCGACTTCTGCACACTACCCTTAACTCTCGAGTGCTATCGGTAACGTGCTTTGGTTTGCAAAACAGTCCTTCCTCCGCGCCCCCCGCCCACCCCGGGAAGCGTTCCCTTTAGGAGACCTCAGGGCTGTCCTGAGTCAGGTCTTTGGTGGCGGTGGGGGCGGGGGATGGCAGGGAGTCTGGGAGGGGGAGCTCTAGAGCAGGCGGCCTGCCCCGCATACCGAGGTCCAGTCCGTCCGGATCTGCCACTCGCTGCAGATCTTGAGCTGGCAGGTGCTGGTGGTCTCGGGCTTCTCCAGGTGTTGGCAGCGGTAGGGCTGCACCGTCAGGCTGCGGTTGGCGTACACCTGGCGGCACAGGACCTGGCGATGCTGCATGCCCAGGCCGCAGGTTTTGCTGCACTCGGACCACTCTCCGATGTCCCAGCTAGCTCAGGAACGAGAGAGCGCGAGAGGGACAGATCACCTTCAGCCAGCGGAAGAGAGCACCGCCCCGAGAGCCAGCTCGCACAGAACCATCAGCATCGTTACGGGTGGTCCTCACGCAAGAGCGTGGCTCAACGCCTGCCTAATGGCCATCGGACTCCGTGAAGCAATGTAACGCTGTCGATAAGCTCTTTACCAGTGACGACGGCCCAGTTTGAGAAAATTAAAGAAAACCGAGAAGGTACAAAGGATTTTTATCTAAAAAACGCCCCAAACTCCAAACGTTAGTTTTATCATCACCCTGTAGAACATTAACCTGCGTTGGATCTTACAAATCTCCAGCATTCTTTATTGCTCATAAGCTACTTACTCATCAGTTTCATGATCTTCCCCTGTCATCCTGCTTTGTCACTTAGTTAAATAAGACATTAGCACACGGCTCAATACATAGGAGGATGTTTCTATTACTTTGAAAATTATGTTGGGACCCTCTTTGGGGGCTCTTTCTCCCTGTTCTTCTGGAAGTGTCCTCTTTATCATCCAGTAACCCACCCAAGACCTCTCCTGAGACACTCTTCCCGACTTCTCCTTGCCCATGTGCCTGTGACTCTCCTCATTCCCTCTGTTCACAGCTCACCTACAGCACCGACCACGCTGGACTGTAATTCCCAGCTTCCCTCTTTGCTTTCCTCATCAGGCTAACACGTAACTGCTCCAAATTACCAAAGGCGTGTGCTCACTGTTAAAGGCTACAAGCTTCTGCGTTCATCCCCAGAGACAGGTGTGCTTGCTGAACAGACTGCAGTTTATGCACAGACTGAGTCTCGTGTGTCTAAATGAGATGTAGACAGATTTTATGTCTGCTAATAAGGTCTTATGCTCAAGCACCCAGAAGTGACCCCATAACTGGCAACCTCCACAGAGAGGCCATCTTACAAGGCTGGGCAAGGGAACAGGTTGCAGGGCTCCTCCTCGGGGGTGGGCTTCATACTGGAGTCGCAGTAGCTCTCGGGCACCTCTTCGTGGGTGTTTCGGTGCACACAGCGAAAAATAGGGAACTGCGATCCTGCAAGGACAAGGAGAACTTCTCAAGGACAGCCCCACACACTTGAATGTTGGGCTCTGGGTGCAGGTGCACAGAGATCCGGGTACTGATGAAGAGAGGCTGCAGGAACAGAGAAATGCACACACACACACACACACACACACACAGTCCTCCTTCATTCATGCGTTTACACACACCTCCCACAACAGGGGCTGTGACAGGCCCTGTGGACACTGGGGGTGCAAACCGCGGACACGGTTGGAAAGTGCTAAAGGCAGATAAAAACAATTTTCATAACAGTTCAAGATATCATGAGGCAGGAGAGTGATTATAACATGAGCACAAGTAATAAATGCCTGAAAGTTTTCTGGAGACACCACAGAGAAAAGGTCCTAGAGGGTCCAGCTGGATCCTACAGAAGGGTGGGGTTTGGGTAGCTGTGGGCATGTGTGTCTTGAAGGGAGGGGGCTGTCCAGGCAGCTGAACAGGAAAAAAAGTGCCTGACACACTGGCTTGCATGTGCCTGGAATGTGTGAGAGGCAAACTGAAGCAGAGAAGTAAGAAGATTCAGGACCGGCTTAGAAGAGCAGCAAGCTTCGCCCTACTCTGTAAAGCATTTTACCCATTCCCCTAGTAAAGTACTGATCCAATGGTATTTTTAGTTATTTGAGCATGTCTGCTTCCCATGAGACAGAGAGCTTCTCAGGACAGAACTAATTCTTGTTCATCCCTGTAATCCCAGTACCTAACAGAGCAACAGCCGCTCAATAAACATGCTGAACGGATGTTTATCAGAAGTCTCATATTTGTTTTTATTACTTTCTTAAAAAAATTATACTGCCTCAGCGTTGTTGTTGTTGTTTTGTTTTAAATATGCAGCTGAGTTTCACTGGCTTAATATGGATAAATGTTTTTTGGAGAAAAAGTCAGAATCCGTTAAATGGAAAAAAAAAAAAGCCAACAATTCTGCCGGCCTCTCTCTGCTACCCCCTGGTGGCAGCTCGGGAGTATTGCTAAGGGATGTGTACAAAGTGAGAACGGTAACCAGGAACACGCCATGCAATTGTTTGAAAAATACGATGTTTCTTCACAAATAACAGTCTGTCCCCTTGCGCCAATCCCCAGTCTAGGCCACTACCCAATTCCTGCCGGGCAGAACATGATCACTCATCCTACAGTTCTGTCTTACCTCTGTTGCTAAGTGGCCAGGCATTTGGAGTTTCTGAACTTCCAACTTACTACAGTTTAATTGTAACTGGAGGGATAACTCTTCACAGAAACGTTTCCCTATTTCATCAGCCATGAAGGGTGTGTCAGTGCTCGTTGACGCTGATCTTGTGTGACCCCCGAGCCAGAGGGTGGTTCTTGTAAGAAACCTTGACAGATTGGAAGACAGTTCTGAATCTGAAATGATCATTTGTTTAAAAACCACTCTGGCAGTAAAAATTCATAATGTAGCTATAACTTGGAGACCATTATTTAAAAATAATGTTCCAGGGGCGCCTGGGTGGCTCAGTCGGTTAAGCATCTGTCTTCAGCTCAGGGTCCTGGGATCGAGCCCCACTTCGGGCTCCCTGCTCAGCGGGAAGCCTGCTTCTCCCTCTCCCACTCCCCTTGCTTGTGTTCCCTCTCTTGCTGTCTCTCTCTCTCTGTCAAATAAATAAATAAAATCTTTAAAAAAATAAAAATAATGTTCCAGTGAAGTGTAATTATTAGCGGAGTAAAAAGTGGTACTGACTATAAAACTAATAAGAAGCAAAAACTTTTGTGGAATGAAATTTTGTCCAGTGACATATCTGCTTCCATGAAGAAGAGATTTTTTTTAATTAAATTCCACAAATATTAAGCACATTGTGCTCGCTTACAAAGATGAATAAGATTCCGTTCACGCCTTTCAGGATACCCATGTGGGACCCAGCTATTAAGGGATTAAGTAAAAATCTTATTATTTATCCCTTCAGACCATGTGGGTGTAACTTTTCTGCTGGCAAGTCTGTGGACTGGAAAGCAAAAGTTACTACTCCAACCACATGGCACTCAGGGGCAATTTAATATCTTTAGCTAAAAGGATGCAGGCTACCATAGGAATGCTCTGTGCCTTGGAGGGATGGGTCCTGCCCAGGGCTCTTTGCACGTGGCCACGGACCTTCCTCACCCTCTTAGTGCCTTTACCCTACACTTATTCATGGTCCAGCTCCAGAGTTCAGCCAAGGACGTAAATCCAGAGGCTCACTCTCTGATGGTGAGAACTATAATTCTTGACTCGAATGACCACAGCGGTTTCTTTCTTTGGGTCAGTTTTGATTTCTGCAGAGAATGGGATGGTGAGGTCAGGTGCTGGCTGGGCTTCAGGCAGCAGGGAGAATCTGGGATCATTTCAGTTGGGTTTTATGTTGTGCGTGTTGATCAGAACAGAGGTATATTATCCCGGAGGAGGGAACTGTACTGCAGGTAATCTGCAGATATTAAAGCAGGCAAGTCAGTGAGCTCAGGGGACGGTGTGGAGAGACTGGTGCGGCATTGGGGAGGGAGGGACAAAATATGGAGCAAGAAAACAATGAAATCATCTGAGGCTTGGAACTCCAGGAATCGACTGAGCCAAGCCAAAAGTTTGACCAGACAGAAGTCTGGGCAACAGCCAGGTGGAGTATGAGCCACTCTGGGCTGTCGGTGGCAGGACCCCTCTCTGTGACAGTGCTATCGTGAGGGGTGGTTTCCCTTGAGAGGCATGGAGACACATGGTCTGTTGAGTTCCACCAGAAAGGACTGGAGAAGATTTGTGTGGGGACGAATGGTGAGGTCACCATCATGAGGGAGCATGGATGTGGGTTGCATCTATAAGAGCAAGACGGTACGTGGGGCGTGGTCCTGGTACATTTGTCACTGCTGCTGAGCTAAACATGGATGCATCCACATGGCCTCATGTGCCCTGCAATCCAGCCAGCGCTGCTGGGAACAAACCTTACAGGGAGCAAAGGAGGGGCATCCAGGGGCTGCTGCCATTTGTCCAGCGGAAGAGCAAGGGGCTAAGGGTACGAGAGAAGGGAGGGCTGGGGGAGAAAACAGCTCTGCTCTTGCTTTTATTTCCAAGGAACCTCTTCTGTAGCTCTTGGACTGGAGAAACCGTGCTGTTTCTCAAGGTAAAGAAGAGGATGAGCATGTCATCACAAGCATCCAAGTGGCAGATGCTGTGTGTGTGTGTGTGTGTGTGTGTGTGTGTGTGCACAAGGCAAAGGAGAAAGACTATATTAAGAACGTTAAACAAAATCATATGGAAATCTAGAGAAAAAGATTCTTCAGTTGTGAGTACATAAATCCACATTCTTTAAGCTACAATAGAACACAGTAAGGCAGTAACAGCCTTGCCTATCCAGGATGCAATGATGTAAAAATTACCCTTACACCTTTTCTAATAGCTGGATATGACCCATTTGACAATATGTTCATCAACAGGAGAAACACTTGAGGAGCGTCTCCTTGTGTGCTGGCTACCATCCCAGGAGCAGGCGATGCAAAGTGTCCATGCGCGGAGACAGCCAGGCCAGGCAGAGCTGGGACAAGAATGTGTCCTGAGTTGCCATGGGGTCCCCTAGGATAAGTGCCCACCTGTGCCTTGCAGAACCAGGAAGGGCTTCACAGAGGAGGTGCATCTGAGCTAGATCGGGGAGTGTAAGTGGTTTGCTGGCTCCATACCAGAGGATATAGTAAGCGAGGCAGGTGTTTTAGCTCAGTGTGGATCACACAGACTGTGGTTGGCTGAGGGAAAGACAACCAGAATTTTTGGAAATGGGGTCCCTCCATCATGCCTTGAATGACCCGTTGAATGAACACTGGGGTATGTGGCATCAATTCAGTGAATGCAGGGCTGTGTGAGCAGCATGAAGGGTGAGTGGGCAATGGCACATGCTTTTGTCCTTATTCTATTAAAGTCCATGAGGCGATGCCCGATGGTCTCTGGACACGGCGACATCTCACGCTACTCGAAAGACTGGGCCAGGCGATCTTTACAGACAGGAAAGGGGAGAGAATCTTCTACACATCTGCCATCCTTGATATAAAACCACAGGATGGCAATTTTTCTTCTTTTTATGACTTTCCCTTGTGTGTACCTAGCACAAATGTGTCTGGTTCCTCCGGTGGGCATTGCACCACTAAGTCCATGGTGGAAACTTCAGTAATCACACATTTGGACCCCGGGTTCCTATGTCAACTGCATTTCATCCTGCTCACCTCTACAGTTCCAGGGATGGATCCTGACTGAAATGATTTTGGCCTTCCTGTGTAATTAGCTTTCTGCCTCTGTTCAGACACATTCTATGGGCATATCACTTTCCCTCCGAAAGCTTAAAAAAGAGGTTAGGGCAATGAATCTTCAGTCCAAATTCTTTGCACATGTATTAAGCAAAAGCCCACCAATATCTGAAGTGTCAGCTCCAGAAATCAGTGCTCCAGTTATCAGTCATCACGGAACTGGCTGGGGGTCCAGGCAGGAGACGCTCCAGCCCCTGCGAAGAACCAAACACCTCAATTCGGTTCTCAAAAGCCACCAAGCTAATGCTCTTGGGAAAAAGATAAAGGCTTTACAGGCGGTTGTGAAAATTTCCTGGGTGCAAAATATGTCCGACTTCCTGAATTTTGTACCCTTGGGTACATGCCTCTTGAAGAAAAGAAAAAAAAAAAATCCCCAAACCACTTTTCTTAGTGTATCAGTTTTCAAGCAACAGGAACTTCTTGGGATAAAGCCTTCCCATTTCCGTGGCCACCTCCCCTCCAAGGACAGCGGTTTTAGGGTCACAAATAGGACTTCCTTACAAACAGGAGGCCATTACCACGCAGACAGTACCCTTGCCTCATAGTTCCTAGTGGTCACAGACAGATCCTTGCACTGAGGAGCTAGGCCACCTTGAAACTGAGAAACAGCCTCAATTTCCAACCCAGGCGCCAGACATTCAATAAGGGGCTTCTGGACACATTCCACGCCTACCTTAACTTTGGAGTTTTCAAGGAAATAGGACCCCAGATCCACCCCACAGTTCAGACTGATATTGATATTGACCATTTTGCCCACAGCCTCCTTTGCTTTGAGCCTATCAAAACTCGCTTTCTTTAAATGTCACCTGAACTCCATCTGCCCTTCCCTAAATCCTGTAACTCTTTTCTTTTGTTTGGAGAGACACCGTTTGTTCCTTCTGGTGTCTCTGGCATGTGGTCTCCCTTCCTGCAAGGAGTCCATGGAGCTGGTGTGGCTGGGCTGCAGGCTTGCCCCCGGGGTCGTAGCTGATGGGGTTAGGATAATGGGACAATACACGGTGAAGATTTTACAGAGAGAACCGTGGGGAGCTGTGAGCGTTGGTGAGCGTTTAAGAGCCGGCTCACACCTCAAGCCCCGTGAGTGTGCTTTTTTTCTGGAATCTTAGATTTCAGAATGAGTTTTACCTGGTATTTGTGTACGTATGCCTCAACTTCTCGATCTTAAACTCAGTGAACACATTCTGTGGTTATTCATGAACTCGTCGTGCAGGAGAGGGTTAACTCAGCAGGTCTGGGGTGCTCAAACCCTGCACACTCCAAAGAAAGCCCTGTCTTCATGACTGGCCCTGGAGCAGGGCTGGAGACAACCTTTGAGCCTGTGGGATATTCTGCTGATAGGAGTGTTTTTCCACACTGTATCAGTTTGACAAGATGGTTTATGCCAACAATGTGATTTGGCTGAATGCCTGTATTTGTGGGCCTGTGGTCTTGGCCATGTTCTATCTATCAGTCTGACTTCTGGGTGCTAAAGGCTGAGTAGCTAATGTCAGTCACGTGGGGGCTCCATGCCTATGTGACTGAGCCATAGTAAGCCCCCTGGACACCAAACCTCAATTATCTAGTTGGCAATAGTTGGTCTTGCTGTCACCCATCACTGCTGGGAGAATTCAGTGCATCGGGTGCAACTCTCTTGGGATGGGACACCCGGAAGCCGGCCCCCGGTTTCTCCTGGACTTTGCCCCACGTGCGTTTTCCCCTGATGATACCCACCTGTATCCTTTCACCATAATAAGTTGTGACCACGAGCATAGTTGCTCTTCTGAGTCTTGTGTGTCCTTCTTGTGGCTCATCAAGCTTGAGGGTGGTCTTGGGGACCCTCCACCCAATGTCATACCCATGAACCATCTCACAGTCAGGCTCAAGGAGGGGAGGCTGCGCCATGTCCCTCGAGCCCAGCCACCCAATCCTCGCCCCGGGGGGTCTGCAGAGACCCTCCTCGCCCGCACTCGAGCTCACCTTTCCCACAACTTGTGGAGCATTCTGTGGTCCCCAGCTGCTTCCAGTTGTGGTCCCGGCTTCGCCGCGGGGGCTGTGGTGCTGCCGGCACCACATTGTCTGGCCGATGGGAAGAAAATCCATCCGGATGCCTGACTGGGAAGGTCTGTGCCGATTCCGAGGTGAATACTTCGGGGGCCCCGCCGTGCACATCTTCCTTATCCTCAGCCTCCTCTTTCTCTTCTCCCTCCTCCTGGCCCCTCCCGTGTGTCCCCAGCTGGCCGTTGAAGGGCTCCCCTAGGAGAGGCAGGTGCACACACAGAAGTAAGACTGGTCTGGACCCGGAGTCCTCCCGAGGACATCCCTTGGACATTAGAAATTACGTAGCACGAGGTCATTTCCAATCCACAGCACATGTGTTTTAAACATGCAGATACCAGTTTCCCTAATATTCAAAACATTGTTAAAAATGAATAAGAAAAAGACGAACGTCCCAGTAGGGAAAGCAGGCAAGGGCCAGGAAGTCACATAAAAAGAAATACTTTAAACAGCCCAAAGTCACACAAAAAGGCTCAACTTCACTCATAATGAAAGAACTACATGTGAAAACAAAAACAACCACCACAACTTTATTAGCCTCACAATAAAGAGGAGGAACTTTGGAGACCCCTAAATCCCTAAACCCCTCACTGAAGATACAGGAAAACAGGGGAGGAGGAGCCTGCTGATAGACACGGAGTTTTGGAGGGCAATTTGGCCATATCTACCCAAGTTTGTTTTATTTATTTATTTATTGAATTCTTATTTTATTCAAATTCAATTAATTAATATATAGTGTACTATTAGTTTCGGAGGTAGAGGTCCGTGATTCATCAGGTGCGTAGAACACCCGGTGCGCATTCCAGCACGTGCCCTCCTTAATACCCGTCACCCAGTTACCCCATCCCCTCCACCCACCTCCCCTTCAGCAACCCTCTACCCAAGTTTTAAATGCACATACCCCTCGACCTAGGGATTCAGTTTCTAGGACATTTATCGTACAAATATTCCCATTCTTTTACACAAAGCTGTATGCACAAGCATGGTTCCTAAAGCATGTTTTGAAATAGCCAAATAGTAGAGTGAACTTAAATGTCCACCAGGGTACTGGTTAAAATACGCCATGCTACAACCACGAACGGATGCTATGTTATTTTTTTTCTTTTAAAGAATGAAGCAAAACGTATGTTGTGACACGGAGATATGACTGATGCATTGTTTGATGAAAGAAAAAGCACAGCAGAATTCATTCTGTATATACATCCACACGTGTGTGGCAGGACCCCTTGTGAGAGATTTAATTGGTGTTCAGCCCTTTGTGTCTGTCCCACGTCTCCCAGGCCAAGTGGCCAAGCCCTTAGGTGTTCTGGACTCGGATTTTTGCAGGGAAGTGAAAGCTGCTGGACGTCAACAGCTCTTCCTTCTCACAGTGAAAGCCTGAGTTCTCAGTAAGGATAACAGGCCCAGATACTGGGGCCAGCCAATGGGAAGAGAAGGAAGAAGAAAGAGGAGGGAAAAGTGGAAAGCATTTTGAGAGAGAGAGAGAGAGAGAGAGAGAGATGTTTTCAAGGCAAGGAGAGGCCGAAGCCAGAAGGTCAGAGTTTCCTGAGCACCACGGACTTTACCTGTGCTAGGCAGGGATCTTTACTCATACTGGGGGTGTGTGGGGGGAGCCTCTGTACTTACTGAGACCGAGTTTTCTACAAGTGTCAAGGAAATCTGAAGTTGAGGCAAGATCTAAGTTAGACTTCTGGGAAAGACCGGCATGAGATGTCCCCTGTACACTTAGACTGCAGACAAAGTTTCAAATTGCTTATAACCATGTTTCTACATGCACAGGAAAGGGCTGGGTGGAACCCCTTCGAATCATGGAGAGATATTCCCTCTCGGAATGGGATTGGGGGATGAGGTTGGGACATATTTTTTTTTTAAGTAGACTTTATTCTTTTTTTTTTTTTTTTTAGAGCAGTTTTAGGTTCACAGCTCAATTAAGTGGCAAGTACAGAGTCTCCATACCTCCTCTGGCCCCACATAATGCACTTACCGCCCCCATCAACATCCTGTACCAGAGTGGTACATCTCTTACCATCCGCGAACCTGCATGGACACATCATTATCACCCAAAGCCCATAGTTTTCATTAGAGCTCATTTTGGTGGTGTACATTCTATGGATCTTGACAAAAGTAGACTACCATGTATCATCGGGAATAGTTTCACTGCCCTAAAAATCCCCTCTGTCTGCCTATTCACCCCTCACTCTCCCTTAGTCCCTGGCAACCACTGATCTGTTTACTGCCTCCAAAGTTGTGCCATTTCCACAATATCATATAGCTGGAATCATACAGTATGGAGACTTTTCAGATCGGCTTCTTTCACTTAATACTGCCGATTTAAGTTTCCCCCATGTCTTTCCATGGCTAGGTAGCTCATTTCTTTTTGTGCTGAATAATATTCCACTAGCTGAATGTACCTCAGTTTATCCATCCATTCACCGAATGAAGGGCATCTTGGTTGCTTCCAAGTTGGGGCAATTATGGAGCACTTGCATCTTACTTTATATATTTTTATTTTGCTTGAATATTGTTCAAACATATACTAGTTTGATATAAAACAAGGAGGCAAATTCCAGAGTTACTGTAGAATCCAGTTAAAACTTAGGACTTTCCCCACCCTGTACCACTTACAACACTTCGTGGCTTAAAATATTAAATACAATTTAAATCAATAGAATCAAGACTAGGCATACTGATGTAAGTAAGACTAAAATATTACCAGACAAAAACATTTAAAAATCTTTTGTACACCTTGCATGCACTGGGCACTACACTGGGATGGACACCTCATATTCAATCTCCTCCACGGCCTGACCCCTTCAAGAAAAACCTTCGAGTGTAGGGTTTTTCTCTTCACTATTTTGTAGACTGGAAACGTGCTCAGAGAAGTTTCTGACTTGCCTGAGGGTGCACAGCAAGAAAGAGGCAGAGCTGGATTTGAGTTCATGGAGGGTAAAGCCTGAGTTCATGGAGGGTAAAGCTTACTACAGAATGCCCCTTCTCACTAACTTTTTACAACTGACTCCTTCTGGGCCCGCCCTGTCCCAGGTAGCCAATCCCATGCTACCCATTAGCTGAGACCCATCAGGCTTGTTATCAATCATCATCACCCTGTAGGATTTCAAATAGTCTGTCCAATTGTCCTTATGCATCAGCATCTGATTTCAGGAACCTCAATATTCTGCCATCTGAGCTTCGTTTCTCAGACTGTGGATCGTTCCTGCAAATGGCTCGAACGTTGTGTTGGGTTGAGTGTGCTGACTTGCAGTTTGGACAACATGCGCAGCCCCCGTGCCCGGCGTACACCCTGCTGTCTCCGAGGAGCCAGACTGTTCTTCCCTGACCTGTGACAGTCAGATAACTCAGTTATCCATTTGGTGGGCCAGGCCTCACATCTGTGCCCTCACTGCCTGGGGTGCAGGTGTCAGAGCAGGTAACCTACGCGATATAACAGACAGCAGACTGAGGTCACTGTCAGACCGGGGCAGTAAGTCCATCTCTCTGAGCTTCCATTTCCTACTTTTTAAAATGAGGCCAAAAACAGCCCCATCCTCTGAGCACTGTCGTGATAATTTGATGAGTTCATCTATGTGAAAGGCTCAGCAATGTCCAGCACACGGCAAGGACTCCGTGCACGTGAGTAATATTATCATTGATGTTTATGTAGGCCTTCCGGTTCAAAAGATGGAAAAAACAAGTCTCCATTTGGGTGGTGGGTTCCATTATCATTTGGTAAAGAAATATCTGCAGAGCCGGAGGGCTGCCTGCCTGCTGTATCTATCAGCAGAGCCCATAGGAAAGAGGTAGATAATTAGGCATGAACTCATTATTCTTTTCTTACAAGTCAAAGTAGTGTCAGGAGAAGCAGAAGGGGACCAAGAGAAAAAAAAGGCATGAGGCGGACAAAATAATGGCCTTCCGAAGGTGTCTGCCTCCTAATCCCTGGAACCGTGAGTATCGTACCTTATATGGCAAAAGGGACTTTGCAGATGTGAAATTAAAGATTTGGGGATGGAGAATGGTCCTGGACTGTCTGGCTGGGCCCAGAGATGTGATGACGGAAGAAGGGGGTCGGAACCCGAGATCTGAAAGTGCTACTCAGCACTGAAGATGCAAAAAGAGGCCAGGAAGCGAGGAGTGCAGGAGGCCTCTTGAAGTGAAAAGGGCAGGGTGACAGAACATTTTAGAGCCTCCAAGGGGAGCGTGGCCTGCCAACACCTTGATTCCAGCCCAGCAAAACCCACTTTGGATTTCCGGAACTCCTGAACTGTAGGATAGCAAACGTGTGTTGTTTTAAGCCACCATGTTTGAGGTAATTTGTTGTACGGCAGGCAGCTCTAGGAAACTAATATCAGGTATCTTAAAATGTTGAACTGGAAAGACAGACTTAGGGTGTTCACCTCATTTCTGAATCAAATGAATGAGACTCTCTTATCAGCAAAGGCTCAGACAAATGGTGAAGCATCCTCTGATGTCAAGGGTGTGTCCGTGTGTTTTCTCTCTGTTGACTGAGAGACACAAGGGAGATGCACAAGAGACAGAGGGCTTTAAAAAGAAACGATGGGCGGGGTGGGGGGTGCTTGGCAGTAGAACAAGAGATTTTACCTGGTCTCCTGTGAGGAGGCACCTGTGGGCTGATGGCGTTGGTCCCCATGATGACGTACTCATAGTGGACTCCTGGGTTGGGCTGCTGGTGTATCATCTGACAACACAGAGGTCAATGTCACTGCACCGGGACACACTCACATGCCTTTCCTGCTGCCCAAGGTCCCCCGCTATACATGGCACTATCTATAAATGATTCAGATCGAATCATATTAGTGAACCTGTGACAGATTAAAGGAAAGCTCTTCCCAGATGGGTTTTTTGCTTTTGAAGAATGAAGGACTTAGAAGAAAACTAGTCTGAAAGTCAAGATTTTATACATTCCAAATAGGAAGATGGGAACAATGGTAGCAGAGCCTTTCTGTTGGCTCTCAACCATCTCACACCATGGTTTAGATTGTGCTCGGTTCTCTCAAAATGGCCAAGCCATGTGTATGCTCCAGGGGAACTCATTTGAACACTAGAGGGCGAGATAGAGTCACGCCAAGAAGAGCCAGCCCTGTTGGGCAGAGCCAGCCTGCGATCCTGTATGTTCCTCCAAAGAACCCTTCCTGGCCATGAGGCTGGCTCAGGAAAAGTCTGCCCCACCCTCTCCCTCGTCCACTTTCTGGGTCTCATCCCCTCTCATCCATGGAAAGCTCCAGAACCACAAAGACATGGGGTCAGAACAACCGGTGTCCGGGAAGTTAAGTGTCCCTGGTTCCTATTCTCTCAGGAACCAATGACAAAAGCAGGATATCAAGCAGGAAACTGCAGAAGGCCGTGGAAGTCAAGAATTAAACATCCTCTGGGACAGAAAGCACAACACAAATCAGCACGGCTTTGCAGAATACCTCCCTACTGGCTTCGGAACACACAGTCCTTTGTGCCCACGGCCTTGCTGGTGAGAAGGAGTAGAATGGGAATCTGCAGTGTGAATATGAGCCAGGCAAGGAGACACTGTCCCGTTCTGATATTTCTGTCTCTACTGCTTTCTAAAGGGGCTCTCCTGTTGACCAGTTGTATAACCTAGAGCAAGTCCCAAGAGCAAGTCCCATGGTCTCACAGTTTTTGATTTCCTCATCTGGAGGAGGAGCTTAGAATCACAGCTGTCTCTTAGATCCTTTAAAAGCACAAGTGTCTCCCAGTCACCCCTGCACGGTGGGTCCTGTTGGTTCATGAGAGTGTTCATTCTGTCCCCCATCATCCCTTTACCCGCTCTCTCCAGGGGAAATGGGGCCTCCATTCTACAAAGGCAGACATGAGAACCACGGAGCTCCTGACACCCAGGAATCATGGTGGTGAACACAGAACCCCAAGGGATGAAGGGGTGTGGCCTCTGGTTCCACTGTTTACCCCTAATTCCCTCACTTCTCTTTTCACATATTCTGACTGTGGGTCTGAGGCCGGAAACCCTCCTGGCCTCTCTTATGCCTTTTCTGCATGAGCATTCTGCCAGTGCAAACGTTGTCTCGTTTACAAAATTATTGTTGGCCACCACATCCTAGACCACCCACAGTGGGCCCTTAACAACCGGGGTTTTTACCCCTGATGCCATTTGAAACTTACCTGGAGTCCAACAACCAACTGGACAGTCTTAAAAAAAAATATTCAAAATTAACTATAACAAGGCTTCTTTTATAGTTTCTAGTCTATGAGCCACCAGGCCCAACAGGAATGAACATGTAACTATATAGTTGGAGAACTAATATTTATGAAATTCTAACAGCAAATTAGCATGTAGATTCGCATGGCTTTGGAGATGGTAAGAGAAGGCAGATCTGTGGGCGAGGTTGTCTTTGTCAAAACCTGATTTTGAGCTTTTATTTCTTGTCACTTTTTTTTTATTTCCTGATCTTTATAAGAAGACTGGATCTTAGTACTTTCTTCAAAAAATAAGGACCATTTTAAACTCTGGGGCGACTTCATAATTTAGTTTCTTGTAAAATAAATCCCAAATTTTGTCTTTTGCCAGGCAAGGAACCTGTAGTAAACCTCTATATTGTTACTCAGAGCTTTATTGTATCATCTGGAGTACTCTGGAGCTCTCGTTTCTTCATTCGCTTTTAGTAGAATTTGAAGAGGGCTGGGAACTTGAGCGGTCTTGTCTTGCTTTAGGGCATTTGCTTTCTTTTGCCATAAAAAGAAAACATGCCAAATTAGCATTAGGAGAAAAGGGCCTGGAGGGGAGCCAATGCTCATGAAATAAAGGATATGTTTTGCCTCTGATTTGGTTCAACAAGTAAAAATGGTTTTAGGGGGTCAATAAACTCTGAGGGTAATAAGCATCTGGTAGAGTTTAAGGTTTCTGTGAGCCAGGTACATTCAGAGGTGAATGGCAAAGATGAACGCCAAGCACCTCAGCACCTCCAAAGGCTTAGCTCGGATGGTTTTATTGAGCACAGGCAACGTTGCTTATTTGTGCTAAGTGTGGTCCCTGGAAGAAACATAAGATGCAAAATCCCAACAGTCCAGAAACATCCAAACTCACATAGACATCCAAGATCTCATTCGTGGGGCCTTCAGCCAAAAAGGACTCTCCAGCGGTGCTCGAAATCTCATTTGGACGCTTGTAGGTGAACATGGTCCCTCCGCCCTCGTATTTTCCCGGCCGGTCAATTGCCCAGTTCCCGTTGATGATGGAGCGGCCAGAACGACTTCGCAAAGCTGTCAAGAACAACAACAACAACAAAAGAACAACAAGACAGTTCCTTGAGTAAGCCCACAGGGTGCACAAGAAAGTGAACTGGCTTATTCTAAATTCATCAAAGTGTTTCCTGAGGATCCACTGTGAAGATCCACTATGGAGAAGATCCACTATGTGCCAGGCACTGAGCTCAGCCCTGAGGGGGTGAGGCGTCTAGGGCACGGCCACTTCTTCAACCAACTCGATCCCTTCCACCACTTGGACTTAGTAGGGAAAAGAGGCGTGGCAGTGGTTAGGAGAGAAGGATGTGGAAATAGAGAGCGGAAGGAGGAAGTCAGAGGAAGAAGAGGAAAGAAAGGAGAGGGAGGGGAACTGTGTTGTATCCCATTATCTAGGTGAGAGGTTGCACACGGGCAGCCTGGGAGCTGATTTTGGCCCATAGATAGGCTTAGTTTGGCCTTCATGGTGTTTTGTTTTGTTTTTAAATAATTAAACCCAAACTCAATTTGGGTTCTCTAGCTTCTAGCTTGTCATGTAAAACAAGAAGACATGTTAGCATTGGCTCGACATCCCCTCACCGCAGCAACCGGCTGGAGCTGAGGAGGACTGCCCCGTTAGATGGGGTCTGTGTGCTCTGGTTTGCCCCAACCCCACCGCTCCTTAGGAGTCCCCGACACTGAGGCTAAGTTTCAGTTTATTGCCCATTCATTTATGACTATGGATTATTTATTCCATCTATGATCATGCTGGCATTGTTATTTGTCTCACAGAATAAAAATTTTCTTATAGTTCTTTCTACTGGTAAGGTCTACTAAAAGTGACAAAGCTAAAGATAGCTCTAAGTGGGTCCTGTAATTTTCCCCTACCTGATCACCTTCATTCATTTGTATGACCTTCCTGACTTCTGTGGGCTTTTGAGGCTAGATGCGCCCACATACAGTCAAAATTGACCCTCATGACACTGCTAAGCAGGTGTCCCCAGCTCTCAGAGCTTGGTTCAGGGATGAGAGGGAACTTGTTCAAGTTCGTGAAGATGAGAAGCGATAGAACGGTGTCCACACTTAGGAGGGAAGTAAGAAAGGAGAAGAGGGGCAAGGAACAAAGTGTTCAGCTAATGAGAGAAGAAAGGACAGCATGTGAGAGCTGACTTTCTTCCTTTAGGCATTTGGCACCTTTGAATCCCCAATCCAATGGTGGATTGAGTTTAAAAGACATCCGGAGTTAAGTGTCATATACATAGTGGGCCTGTGATGGTCATTGGCTCTTTGCAACTTCACTTGCACAGTTACTAAATTTAATTTTGTACAATGTATTATGGAAAAATTTATATATACACCAAAGCAGTGAGAACAGTGTAATAAACCTCTGTGTATACATCAGCTTCAGTAATTATCAACTCATGGCTTATCCTGTCTCCCTCTGCAAATCCCAGACCCCATTTATCCTTACATTTTTCAGGAGGTGTCTCTAAAATATAAGGACACTTTGTTTCTTAAACCCATTTTCAGCAGCATTTCTACAGTGGGCCTCCGGGGGCTGGCAGAGTCAGAGCTGTTCCACGGCGTGGAAGAGCTTCCTATTTAGAGCCGGGGAGCCCACAGACTCCATTCCTGGCTGGTTGGTTGCCATGGCCACTGGGAGACCACAGCTGTGGAGCATTGAATACCAAATTATAAAATCAATTCAGCTTGAGTGGCAAAGAAGGTCAAGAGTAGAGACTGAGGAAGAGTAGGTTTGGGGCCTTTTCTCTCAAAAATCGCACTTGAGAGTGGTCCATACAGTCTCCAATTCCTCACTTCCCATTCATTTCTCAACCAGCTCCAACCTGATCTCTGCCCCCATTACTCCATTGAAACAATTCAAATTAATGTCACCAAGCCCTCCATGTTGCTAAATCCAATGGGCATCTTCCAGGCCTTCCCTTGCTAGACGTCTCAGTAGAATTTGGCACTACTGACCACTCCATCCTAATTGAAACATTCTTGCTCTGGTTTCTGGGACACCACAGTCAGCTTGCTGTCCTCCTGCTCTCAGGATGCTCATCCCTTCTTTCTTTTCTGTGTCATCTTTCTCTACTTGGCTACTGAGTATTAGCGTTCCTCGAGGATGAAGATTTGGGTGCTGTACTTTCTTGGGCAAGTTCATCTCTGCCATGGCTTTCATTACCGTATTCTGCTGGCTTCCAAATTTCTGTTTCCAATCCAGAGTTCTCCTCTGGTCCCCAGACTTCTTTATCTGATGGCTTACTTGACAGTTTCACCTCAGATGTCTAAGACTGAACTCACCCTTGACCTCTTCCAGTGTCTACTATGTTAGTAAGAGGTACTACCACCCACTTCATCAGAAATGGAGGAATTATCCTGGACCCCTCCCCCTTCCTTATCCCCTATATCAATCCAATCATCAAATTTTATTTGACCTCCTCTATATTTCTTGAACCCATCAACTTCTCTCCACGTCCACTGCCATAATCTAGGGCAAGTCCACCACCAGATCTCATCTGGACTAACTCGAAAGCCTTCTGATTGATCTACCTATTCCCTTCTTTTCAGCCAGAGTAATCTCTTCACAATGCAGGTTTGACCATCAACTGTGGCTCAACACCCTTTAATGGCTTTCTATTTCTGTAAGAGAAGAAGCCTCAATCCTTAATGGGTTGGGGCCCGCAGTGATGTGGTGCTGCCTCATCGTGCACCACACTTGTCTGCTCTCTGAGCTCTGCTTCCTGGCCGCCTTTTAGCTCATCTAATACATCATGTTCCCTCCACAATCCATTCTTTTCTTCCAGAAGCATTTCTCTGAACCTGGAATCATATTTGTTCTTTAGACGTCAGCTCCTTAGGGGAGTCTTTCCCAACCCCCAGTTCAGGCCTGTCTCTTTTTTATGTGCTTAAGAGACGCAAAAGCCTCTCCTCCAAGGCATTTAACTCAGTCTGTACACACATCCATTCAGAACATGATTGAACTAATGTTTGTCTCCCAGAGCACTGCAAGCTCCGAAAGGTGTTTCCTCACAGTTACAGGTCTAGTGACCAGCACAGTGTTTACCATAGAGTAGGAATTCATACTTGTTGAATGCAAAAATACATAACAGAAAAAGACACCAGCTCAAAGGAAAGATAGGCAAAGAATGATGAACAGGCAATTCAAAGAAAACCAAGTACAAATACTCCATATGGAATGGAATGGAAAGATGCCCTGCCTTACTTAGAATTTAAGAAATGCAAATCAAAACTGCTATGGTATCTTCTTGACCCACCAGATTGACAAATGTTTGAAAACATTTAATATTGCCAGAATTGGCAGGTGCGTGAGTAAGCAAGCATTCATAACATTGTTGGTAGGAAGGTAAACCGATTCAACCACATCGGAGGGCAATTTGGTTATATTGCTAAAACTTTAAGTGCCTGTACACTTAACCCAAGAATTGTACTTGTAGGAAACTACTTTGGGGGATATACTTTCATAAGTATACAAAAGTGTTTGTAACAAGGATATGCCCTGCAGATTTTTTTAAAGAGAAAACCCCAAAACAACCTAAACATGGATTGCTTACATAGTTTGTCATACTGAATGTCCATGCAGGGGGATCCATGTGGCCCCCAAAACAGTGAGATAGGTCTGCATGTGGGCGTATGGGAAGAAATCCATGATAAATTTTTAAGAAACAAAAAATGCAGAACAGCGTTTTTGGTATGATCTCATTTGTGTATAGCATATACATAAGACGTATGCACATGCATAAAACTTTTCAGAGAAAATCATAAAACTGTTAACATTTGGGAACAGGAACTAGGGTTTAGTTTGGGATGTGAGATGAGAAGGGAAACATTTATTTCACATTTTATATCTTTTTATTGCCATTTAAAATTTGTTTTACGATATGCATATATTACCTTCTTTAAAGCTTAAATCTTTTTTAGTTAACATAAAGGACATGGTACAAGCAGAAATACTCCTGAGGGATATACATATTTTCCCTTTTTTCTTGGTTCTTCTTAAAATCCTATTCAGAGCATCCAAAGCTCAGAACTGAGGTACGTTCTGGCTAAGATTTATTTGCTTTTAATGGAAAGCTTGTATAAGAAGTTGTTTGTTGGGGAACCAAAAAAAAAAAAAAAAAATCCATTAAAAAAATATCTGAAATACTGTACAGGAGAAAACTGCATGGGCTTCCCAGGAAATAAAACACGGGGACCCCGAATCTTTTTATCATCTACTACTGTTACCCAAGCACCCGCTCTCGGGGTTTAGATGAATCTTTCACCATATAAGAGCAAAGCGTAAAAAAAAGCCGTAGGAGATTTTTAGCAGACAAGGGCCCAGTTCCATATGCCCACAGGTTAGCTTCTGAAATAGGTCCAGCACTAGCCCCCACCTGGGCTTGCATATTGAAAGCAGCTGCACCTACAATTTATGGGCCTGTAAGCAGTACCAGCGCTATGTAATGGGTGTCCAGAACTACCCCACAAAAAGGTGCAGGTGACTCATGGCTCTTGCTAGTGGGTGTGGTCATGGAAGTTCACGCTTTGGCGAAGCTTGTCACAGCTACGTCAACAGGAGGAAATCTCCACTCTCGTCTGACATATGGATTGTATTTGTTCTAGCTGTCAACGCTGGGCATATGTATTTGGCCTAAACTATGTGCACCAACAATGCCCTTCTCCAAGATCCATATAGGAATCACTTGCTCATCCAAGTCCTGCTTCTCAGACAATTTACCCTACAACCTTAATGCCCGCTGTTGCCAACCCAACCACTGGTTCCTGCATCCAAACAAGAAAGGCGCTTTCTTTACGGCCAACTGATCACTGCGATCTAGACATCTGTTTTTGCTTTTCTTTTATTTATTTTTTAATTATTCAGTTTTTTAATAAAGATTTTATTTATTTTTTTGTGAGAGAAAGAGAGAGTGAGCATGTAACAAGCAGGGGGAGTGGCAGGCAGAGGGAGGAGCAGGCTCCCTGCTGAGCAGGGACCTGGATGCGGGGCTCCTGGGATCACGACCTGAGCCAAAGGC